ATGTTTTGGGAAACAGATGCGGAGAAAAAACAACACTAAAGGGAAAAGTATTCGGGGGCGTGGAAAAAGGGGGAGGGAATAAAGGGAGGGAGGGAGGGAAGGAGGAGGGAGGGAAGGATAGGGAGGGATCGGAGGCGAGGGAAGGATATAAGAAGGGACGGGAGGTGAGGGAAAATAAAGGGAAGGGACGGGATGGGAACAGAGGAGGGAAGGATGGAGAAAGGGGGAAGGAAGGGAGGGAAGGAGGGGAGGAGAGGGGAGGGTGTTAAGAGAGGGAGGGAGGGAAAGTAAGAGAGGGAGGGGAGGAGAAGTAAGAGAGGGTGAGGGAGGAAGGAGGGAAGGTGAAAAGGGGAGAAGGGAAGGGAGGGAAGGGGGAGAGAGGGAGAGAGAGAGGGAAGAAAGGAGGGATAGGAAGGAAGGAGGAAAAGCAGACGGGAATTGGGAAAGGAATGAGACGAGATAGAAGGAAGGAATGCGGAGGGAAAGTGAGAGGTCAAGGAAGGAAGGAAGAAAGCGAATAAATGAGAAGGATAGGAAAAAGAATGATGAAGGAAGGAGGGATGAAAATGAGAGATGGAAATAGTTAATGAGGGAGGGAGGGAAGTAAGAAAGAATGGAGGGAGGGAGGAGGGAAGGGTGAAAAGGAAGGAGAGTTGAGGAGAAAGGAAGGAAGGAAGATAGAAGGAAAGAGAAAGGAAGAGAGTAACAACGAAGGATGAAAGATGGAAGGGAAGAAAGAAAAGAAAGAATTAATAAAGAATTTAAAGGACGTGAAAAGAAAAGGAAGGAAAAACTGAACAGAATGAAAAAAGTGAAGAAAGAAAGGAAAAAAAATGAACAAAGAATGAAAAAGGGAATATGGGCTTAAAAGCAAACAGAATGACGACCTGTCCACCAAGGCGAGAGAGGATCCAATGGCTTGTTCTCTGGAGTTAGACGCCTTGGCTGCCTTTGAGCTGTTCGATACCAGCGTCCCTGGCGGAGTACCAGAACAATTTCAGTCTTGACCTAGGCTAACTGAGGAAGGAACAAAGGAGCCACCAGCCGGGCCAGGACACTCGTATGATCTGGCGCTAGACCTTCGTTTGACCTGGCCTGTGACATTCGTATGATCTAGCCCGTGACCCTCGTTTGACCTGGCAAGTGACCCCTGTATGACCTGGCCCATTGACCCCCCCCCCGTATGACCTAGCCCGTGATCGCCGTTTGACCTGGCCTTTGACTCTCGTATGACCTGGCCCGTGACCCTTATACCTGGCCCGTGACCCCCGTAATAACCTGGCCCGTGAACGCCGTATAACCTGCGCCCGGTGAACCCCGACCCCCCGTTTTGACCTGCTGGCCGTGACTCCTGTATGACCTGCCCCGTGACCCGCGTTATGACCTGGTCCGTGTCGTTTGATCCTGGCCTTATGACCTCGTATGACCTGGCCCGTTATGACCTTGCTCCCGTATGGACCTGGCCGTGACTTGACCGCGTGACCCCGTATGACCTCTGGCCCGTGGACGTATGACCTGCCCCGTGCCGTGACGCGTATGACCCTGGTCCGTGACCCCGTAGACCTGGCCGTGACCCACAATATGATCTAGCCCGTGACCCCGTTTGACCTTTGCCCGTAACCCCTTGACCACCGCTCCCACACCTAGGCCCGTACTTTTAAACCTTTCGCCAGCCGGCGAACGTTCGCCAGGGCTGGGGCGAAAGATTATATTGGAACAGCCTGGCGAAAGCAAAGGCGCGAGAAGCTGTTTGAATACCATTTCTTGCTTTCAAAGTTATAAATTAGTAGTACACATTTATGTATGATATGATGTAGGAAATCACATTGAAATTCTTAAAATATATTAAATTCATAATTTATCATGAAATAACGTATATACGTTTTTTTTTTTTTTTTTTTTTTTTCCAAGACCTTCGATGTTCCAGTCGAGAGCTCATGACATCAGCTGTATTCCTACCCCCCTACCCCTACCCCCACCACCGAGATGACTTTATTTAGATTTAGGTTGTTGTTATTTTGGTTGTAAGGTAATGTGTTTCTTTTCACAAATGTTTACCAGAAGTGTTTTTATGGCGGCATGTTTACTTTTGGCTATAGAAACAAAGCTGTAGTGCTCCCACCGCCCTATAAGGAGGCGGTCTTTAATGATACCCTTGTAGGCCTACAGTTCAATATCTTACATCAGTTAGGAATAGTAAAATAGTAATTTTTAAACTCTTGTTAAAAGTAATAAAAGTTATTTTTTTGTATAAAGTATAAGGTTGATATAGTATGTATAAAGTACTTTTTAAAACCTTTTCGCCAATGCTGGCGTTCGCCTGGCGCGAAGCTTTTCGCCAGGCGGAACATCTGAGTGAGGAGGGCCTTACTTTTTAAACCCCAAGGCAGTGTCCAGGCCTCGCCAGAAACGAAAGGGATCGCCAGGCGCGTATTCATCTTGGATTCTGATAAATCTAGCGCTTCGGCGAATGAAAAAAAAACGCGAGAAAAGCAAAGGTTTAAAAGTACGGGCCATAAAAGTTAACCTTGTTTATAGTATAAAGTGTAGTATAGCATAAAGTATAAAAGTTAATTTTGCTAATAGATAAAATATTTTTTCAACTTCTTTGTTATAGCATAAAGTTGAATTCTAACTCCTTTGTTATAGTATAAAGTGAGACTATTGCGGAAACAACATTTTTCGTTCTCTCCGAGGTTGATAATTAGTTTAGGTTATGTTTGTGTGCACTGCCAGATGTAAACAAATTTGCGCTAGATTTAGCGAGAATGCAAGATGTTAGCCCCCTGGCGATCCCTTCGCCCGCCCTGGCGAACGTTGGGGTTAAAAGTAAGGCCTCTCTCATCACTCAGAGGTTCGCCTGGCGTTAGCTTCGCCAGGCGAACGCCAGCACTGGGCGAAGGTTTTAAAAAGTACGGGCCTTAGTCCCAATATACAATCTACACTCTTCTATTCTCTCGCCTTTCAAAACCCGTCGTTGGACATAGGCCTCCCTCAGCCACTTCGTCACCCAAAGAGGCCAATTCACATGACCTCGCGGATATATCCCGCTGTGTGTTTATACTCTTTCTAAACAAGAATTAAGCGTGTTACGTTATCATTGCTATCTATTAGTCCAAGTAGATGTCTTTTTCAATACGAAGGGAGGCTCTTACAGTAGGGTTAAGGGGGGGGAAGTGATAAAAAGGTGATAGGAGAAAAGTGAGAAAAATAAAAGAGGAAGGTTATAAGGAAGAGAGAATAAGGAGAGGCAGGAAAGTGATGAAAAGAGAGGAGAAGAAAACGAGAGAAAGAAAGGTAAATTAGAATCAAGACAATTAAAGAAGAGGAGTTAGGAAGAAAGATTAAAAATGTGTGAAAGACAGGAGTTAAAAAAAGGAAGATATAAATATGAAAACGAAATCACAAAATATAAAAGTGTAATTAAAAGAAAAAAAATAGATAGTACAACGTAGATAGAAAAAAATGTGGATAATAAGTTATATAAATATATATAAAAAGTACCAAAGATAATTAGATGAAGAAAGAAAAGAAAGGTTAAAAAAAAAAAATAAATAGTATTAAATATCTAAACAAAACAAAAACAAAAAATAATGAGATAAGATGGTTCGAAGAAAGGACGAAAGAAAACGAAGAAATAATAAATAAAACGAAAGAGAAAAAGAAATAGGAATTTGACAAGGAAAAGTCGGAGGTAATTAGACCAAGGGTGAGTAATGTACAAATAGTAACAATAATAATGGTATTACTGCTACTTTTAATACCAATGATAATAATATTGATAACTATAATAAGAATCATAACAATTACAATGATAAACAATACTGATGGTGATAATGATTGATAATGATGATAATAACTGATGATGAAAATAATACCTAGAATGATAATGATAATAATATTAATGATAAGAAGAAAAATGACAATGATAATGAAAATAATGATAACAATAATGATAGTAATAGTAATAATGATAATGATAATGATGATGATAATGCTAATGATAAAGATAATAAATATAATGGTATTTG